CCTCCTCAGACCTCTGCCTGGTGTATTCACAGTGAATTCCCGGGTTTCCAATGTTTTCCCGCATTGCCCGCCTCATGATCTCTGGTGATAAGGCCCGCGAGAATTCCACGGAAGGCTTACCATTGCAGGTGACGTGGCTCGATGGGAGAGCTTCGCAAGCGTGCAGTGAGCTCCTGCGTTGCACTCTCAGTAATCCAAAAGTTAGCTTCGTTGTTATTTATGTGAGTCCACTACTAACAATGATTAAAAGAAAAAACCATCACAGATCTCAGGACCCTGGGGAGTGACTCCTGAACACAAAAGAGGGTCTCGGGTTCCTAAGGGGTCTTCATGGTCTTGGGTCTCCGGCGTCACTCTTGCTGGGTTTGTCTCTCAGAACAGTCAAAGAAGATCAATGCAAAGCAAAATCCTATTGTTGGTGTTGCAAGAAGTGGTACAAAGCCACCCCAGGAGTGGCGTGGGGACACTCAGAGTTGAGTGAGGACAAACCTGGGGGGCAGTCCTGTTTGATGTGCTGGGGGCCCGTTTGTACCCTACCCAAAGGTCACTGTGTGATTGGACATTGGTCTTGCTGGAGGGCTGGGTATAGTCGGCTGCGCCAAACTAGTTCAAAGCAAACCAGTTTACCTTTCATTTGGGGCAGTGCCCTTGCTGAGGAGAGCCTAAAGGAGCAGGCTGTCGCTACACAGACACAGTGCAAAGCTGCAGGCTGCCGGTGCGGCTGCTCCTGTGACACAGGCCGTGTCCCACTGCTTCTCTGAGGGCCTGGCTCCTTGTCCAGCCCTCCCGTAGGTCTCAGCTGCCCCTAAGTTAGGAGGGTTTTCGCCGGAAATAAGAACAGCTCCCTGGTTCTTGGAAGCCTTCTGAGTGGGTCTCCAGGGGGCTGCTTGGTCCAGAGCTGATTAGAGACAAGCACAACACAACAATTGCTCTATTATTTAATGTCCACCTATCACAGGTGACTAGTGACTGCTGGAATCTCAAGTTCTCAGACCAGTTTTCGTACCATGTAGAGATGAAAGGAAACAGATTTTACAGAACAGTGGTGGGTTGCACTTGAAGTTCATGGAGACTAGGGAGCTTGGTAGGAGTCACTGTACCTCCTGGTGGGCTGGAAGGCCGTGGTCCTCGTTTCCCTAGGACATTCTCTCTTGGTGTGCTCTCCATAGTTTGCTGCCTCTTAGGATTTTAATTCTCCTCAGTGTGGCCTGTTATCAACAGTACATCTAGCCATTTTCCATGGCTAGGAGGCTTACTCTTTTTTTTTTTTTTTTCGGAACCGGGGATTGAATTCAGGCCCTTGCGCTTGCTAGGCAAATGCTCATTCTGCTAAGTTATCTCCTTGGCCCAGGAGGCTTAATCATGAGCAGTAAAGAAGCTGTTCTTTACAGTCAGTCTGTTTAAATGAGGCATTCCAGAGAGCTTAGATGCTGAGGAAAATGGTGGGGGTGGTAATGTAGTACTAATGTTCAGTGAAGGAAATTTTTCTGTCAAAGGAAACAGTTAAAATATGTCCGGTTTATAAGCCCCCTTATTTTTGTAATACCAGCTTTTTTTGTAAAATGTACGTGTGTTTGTTTCACAACTTTTGGAATACTTAAGACCAAGAGGTGCTTGGCTATTGACTTGTAAAAGTTTGCCGCAAAAGACTTTGCAGACCACAGAATTTAGTCTGCCTGGCAACCATGACCTCATGAGAGTAGCCAATTGGGTTAGATTGTGAGGCCACACCCCGAATGGTGTGCAGACTGCGCTTCAAGACCAGAACAAGGCTTGCCTTTCTTGCCAGTGTCTGGCTTAGCTCCCTCTGCAGAAGGAAATTTTACCTTGCCAAAAAGTACTGGAAGTTTTCTTTCTTTGCCCTGTTTGTGAAGCCAGATGATTCTTTCTCAACACCAAGGGAAGAGAAAGGGTTCCTGCTAAGGACAACTTTCTGAAAGTGCTGTGTGTTGAGCCAAACGGAGAGCCACATTGAACTGGGGCATGTGATGGAGCTGGGCGTGACAGTGGCCCTGGATGAAGGGGCGAGAGCTGCGATCCCTGCAGTCACTAGTGTCTCCTGCATATTTCTGCATGTTGATGGAGCCCTGAACTGTTGGCTGCTAGGGCCTCCATATACCACAAGTGCTGGAGCAGAGCCATGACCTGAGCAAGGGTCTGCAGGCATAGCAAGAACAGGAGGAAAAGTGATTTTTTTTTTTAATGAGGAGCCAAGGGGAAAAATGAAATGGGTGAGCAGGGCTTGTGAGAGGCAGGTGAGGTCGCAGCTGCAGCAGTGACCTCCTTCGCTGAGGGCTTAGCATGCACAGGGTGGCAGTAATTAAAGGGCTGTGTGCTGCCTTGGCCCTTGAGCGGGTCGGAGGTCTGTGGCCTAAGCGGAGGGAAACCGGGTGGCAGATACAGAATGTCTTCTGTGGTTACTGATCAGTTCACCTAGTCATTTGTGACGTAAAACTGGAAATTATGAAACTGGTCTGAGAGGCCTAGTAATAGTAATTAGGGTTCTCATCAAAGTAAAATTGGAAGAGGTTTCTTCTCGGTACAGACATTTCAAGGCTTTGTTTCTTCATTGTCTGGGCACTGAATACAGGAATCCGGCGTGAGCTAGAGGCCCTGGTTCTCATTTTGATTTTTGAGGCTTGGACGCATTCGGCCACCCAGGCTGGAGAGGGCTTCGGATCCTGTGTCCGCCTCCCTCGCTGAGGAGCAGACAGGCACGGGACGCTTTGCTAGTTCAAGTGTACGGTTCTCTGATCATCCTGCCTTACCAGAGTTTCAGTGCGGGGGGGGGAGTCTGGGAGGCCTGGTGGTGCCCACCGTAGTCCAGCTGCTTGGGAGGCTGAGGCAGGAGCATGCACCCACCTCCAGGCCCCGCCCGGACAGCTGAGAAAGCCTGCCTCACGATGGGGTAAATATTTGGGGACCTCTGTGCTCACATGCCTGAGGACCTGAACTAGATCTGTAGCCCTGAGAAAAACAGAAAGAATTGCCTAGTGGAAATCTTTTGGTCTTGTGATTTCCTCCTCTCACTCGTGGTGTGTGCTACAGCACGTGCGTATGATGGGGGACAGCAGGCAGGCGTCCCTGCCCTGTCAGCAACTGGACACCGAGCTGGACAGAACTGCACTCCATGGTACTCGTGAGCTATGTAGCATTTTATTATCTTGTGTTATGAATTTGTCTGTGTCCTCCCTACGTATCCCCAAATACAGATCAAGGAGGGTTCTGAGCAGCTGCAAACAAGGCTGGGCAATGATGTCTGACTAATCGGGTGTATTCTGTACATTATTTTTAATGTGTCACCTTCCCTTTGGTCTTTTTGAGCTGGGTTTCATGATGCAGTTCTGGCTGGCCTTGAGCTCATTCACAGCCCAGGTGAGTCTCCAGCTCTCCGAGGTCCTCTTGCCTCCTGCCTCCTGCCTCCTGCCTCCTGCCTCAGCGTCCCTCTGAGTGCTGAGAGCGGGTGTGTGGGGTGGTCTCGGTGCTTTTCTTTCAAGTCTTGTAGCACTGCAAGCACTTCTTCAGTTCTGCACAGAGTCCCTTCTGGAAGCTGACGGTCAGCCCAGGGTCTCTGGGGCTGGATGCTGCGGTGGTCAGGAGCTACAGAGCAGTCTGGCAGGGAACCTGTGAGTGCGGTGGGATGGGGGCACTGCACTGGGGTTTTATTTTTTTTGAAGGTCTGTTGGCTTTGTTCTGACTTTTTTTTCTGCCAGGTAAAAAGCTCCCTCACTCTGGTCATATTCTCTGCTTTACATCACTATGAAAAGGGGATGCCTGTATTTTGTACGTTCTTTATTCATTTCCTGTGTAAGCTCTTAAAGAAAATATCTGCTTTTACCATATTTTCATATTTGTCTTGAGGAATTTTGTGGTGAAATCTTTTTGTTCTTGGTCGTTTGCAGAAGGTCAACATGTCTTCCATTAATTTTTCCTTTCACACGGTGATTTCTTAGTGTACTTTATTTTCTAAGCAGAAATTCTATTTGAGTTTGTGTGTTCAAAGCCAACTTAACATTTGTGGGTTTATAAGTTTATTTTTGAAGGTTTCCTCACCTTTATAGTTTCTGAGTATTTTTTCATGTTTTATTTTTAAATTTTATATATTTTTGGAGCCTAGCTAGTGTGTGCTTTGGAATATTTGTGGTATAAAAATCATATTCACTTAGCATATACAATGAGCAATTTATCCCCATAAAAGAATGCTTTCTACATTTGATTTGTACTGCTAAACTCTTCAAATCTCATTTGTTTAAAGCAAGTTTATTTCTTGGTGGTACTTTTTTTGGGGGGAGTGGGGGGCCTGGCAGCCGGGGATTGAACTCAGACCCTTGCACTTGCCAGGCAAGCATTTATTCTACTGAGCCATCTCCTTGGCCCTCTTGTACTTCTTATAAATTTAGTGTATGTATGTGTTGTCCGAGTTTCAGGTGTAATTGATTGTAAGAACAGAGCTTGTCTAAATAGTAGGAAAGATTATCTCTATTTACTCTTTTATTTGAGATTTGAAGAATACAACCGGGTCTTTTGG